TGTGTGTGTGTGTGTGTGCGCGGAAAGCGAGTGCATTTTGTCACCCACTTTCATCTCAGCAACCAGCAAAGCTGGGAGGCTGAAACTTTGGATATATGCTCCTACCCCATGCTTCATCCTCCCATTCTAAGATCTTTCCCCATACGTGCATAAACCCCGCGTACGAGACACCCAAAGAAATTTGCTGGCGGGAAACGATTTCGCGAACCGGGCAACTTAGAAAGCTGAAACTTTGCAAAGATATTCTCTATGCACGTGCGAGATGAAAGTTCTAAACTCAGCTCTCTAACTTTCCAAGAACTGCCTCAAGCAGCTCCTGGACCCAAAAAATCGTTAGCAACTCGGACTTGAACCGCAAATGTACATGCAAATGAACGCGCATTTTTAGCAACTCGGACCTAAACTGCAATTATATGTGCAAATGAGCGTGGATTTTTTGAAAAACGACCGTTCGAGCAATACTTTCAATTTTTCAATGAACTGAAAATTAGCATATTTTCAAAAAGTCGTTCGCAGCTCGGACCTTGACCGCAATCGCATATGTAAATGAACACGCATTTTTTGCCAAACGACCGCTCGAGCAATACTTCCACTTTTTAGTGAACTGGAAATTTGCTTTTTTTCAAAAAATTTGCATTTGTCTTTTTTCACAAAGCGAACATTTACCGAAAAAACGACCGGACTTCATGCAAAAAACCGGTAATCGTGCACCTGGATGTCCGTACGGCTCTATAACGCACCACCTTCATCTCTACTGATGCCCTTCCTCCTGCATGCCAGAAAGGATCAAAGCACGGCCAATATTAGTCCAAGTGTTTGGCTACAGCGTAGAGATCATTCCTGCTAATAACGATCTGTGAGTTTAGTGCAAAAACGCATGATCGCATTGAGGAACCGGTACGTTCCAGCCTGGGTTTTAAAATTAACTTTATTACATCGGGATTCTCCAACTATGCAGATGACAACTTTTTTAGTTGCCATGACCAGTGCTGCATTTTCTGATGGTCAGCTCCCTAGTGATCTTGACGTTCCTTCCGCTCCTCTAAGGATTACCAGTCTAGTGGTTCTTCCAAAAGGGACATCTGGCAATCTTTTATTCGTCTTTTCGCAAATAGCGGATCTTGTGCTTGCGCTTTTTACCACATCTGGAAAATGATTTTCTGATTGTCATCGACTTGCGCTCTTTGCAGATACTTGTAAGTCAAGGCAATAGTAGCGTGTTCTAAGCTTTTTCCCACAGCTTTTTGATTCTATATTTTAACAAGTTGAAAAAAGTCGTTAAAGACATGACAATTGTACAGTTGACGACGTAACGAAAAAAAAGTTTGAGTGAGCTATACAAAAAAAATTTTCAGTCCTTGAGCGGTTCGAATATATTGCCAGTGATACATGAAATGGAACCAACAATAACGCCGCCCACCTATAACAAAGTGAACAAGTTCACTAGAGCTTTTCAAAACATTGTCGATGCATACGGTGTTGCGGATTATCGAGAAATTAACCCAAGTACTACTTTTTCGGCGGATAATCAGCAGTGGAGGGAAAACAGATGCTTGCCTTTTTGTTGAGCCAAAATGACATGTTTTCTCAAGCAGGCAAGGGGAAAGAGCAGGAAGAGTCGAAAAGATTTGTTGATTAGCAAACAGTTCAGTAGCAGTAGCAACAGCTACTTTACAGTTTACTTACTTTTTGCGCTACTTGGGCCTCGGTCTACTATTTTAACTCAATTTGGCCTGAAGGACGATGTTAAGATGAGAGTTGTTGCGCTGCTTGTGTGACGAGAATGAAAAGTAATGAACTGATAAAATTGCAAAATGAAGTGAACGTTGGGAAGACAGCCATTCGAAGGGTACTGCTGAATACTTGCACAGAGAATCATCGACCTAACGAGCCTAGAGAAGAAAATGAAATCGAATTACTGATTATATCAAAAAGAGTTGTAGAAATACTGTAAAAATCGAATGGAGGCACTTGAGAAGTAGTAAAGCAAGCAGTGCGTACGCTTTCAACACTTGTAAAATTTGCTTTGACGCGCCTCAGCAATGGCATTAGGATATTGCTACAGTATCGACGAATAGTGTTTTTGATGTTGGGCTACGGAAAATAAAGTCGGGCTACAACTGTACCTTGAGCTCAGATACACCCTTGAAATGTCAGAGGAGCAACACTGCTAGCTTGAACAGTCCTAGCGATTTTCGTGGTTACAAAATTTTGAAAACTTCATGGAAGGACCAAAAATCAATCCTTTTTTCTGAAAAAAAAAGTTCATGAACTTGTGTTTAGTTATTGTATTGCACTCAGCTGACAGAATTACTTTGACAGTGAATAATTGTAGCACCATGGACAATAATTACGTTTCCATTCATCTTCGCGGTAATGTTCGGAGACGCAGGCCACGGTGCATTCATGTTTCTCTCCGCATTTCTGTTTGTTATATTTGAAAAACGACTCATCGCTGCAAAAATCAACGATGAGGTTAGTTGCTTTAGCTGCAGTGGGTAAACTTTTCAACAGTTTGTGCAAAAGGCAATTAGTTCAAGTCCGCTTGTACGGTAGACTAAATTCTGAATATCGGGTTACTGTCTCTCTCTCTATCCTAAATTTTTAAAATGCAGCATATATTTTGAGTTCAAATTTTTCTCTAAAAGTGCGCAAAATTAATTTTTCATGATCTCGAACTTGTAGCTTTGTCCATGAGTTAATGAATTTTGCTGGAAAAAGTAGATCAAAAAGCTTTTTTCTTGATTTAGGTTTATCACTTTAACATTTCGTAAATTTTAATTGCATGCAAGTTTATGAGGACTTGTCAGATTTTCAACATATTTTTTGGTGGCCGCTACGTGTTACTTTTGATGGGATTGTTTTCAATCTATACCGGCATTGTGTACAACGATATTTACTCGAAGTCAATCAACATTTTCGGGAGTAGCTGGAAAAATCCATATCAGTAAGTCCACAAGATGGAAAATAAAATTTACCGAGTAGAGTTGACGCTGATCACTCTGTTACTTGAAACTTCATTATCCGAGCTTTGCGTAGTTTGTTGTAAAGTTGGAAATGCAGTTTGTTTAGAACATCACAGACAACGTCCAAACAAACAACGGAAGCATCCTGTATTAGTAATGCAGCTGGGATATATTCATTCATAGCTATGCCTAGGCTCTTCAGTTTTGAGTTGTATACCTTTAGTTGGTACCATCGATGTCTGTCCCCAATTCTTTGGTGACCCCAGAGTGTTTGTTACTTTCCTGCGGGTGCTGCTCATTGGAAGGAAGCATTTGCCGGTTTTCAACAAGAAACAAAGCGGGTAACAAACCCCTGTTATCACATTTTACGTTTGTTTTGTAATCGAAACAATATTCTCTGCAACCAAATGTTTACGTAATAACCAGAAGACACCCCAGTCATCACTCGCTCCGCAGTTCATTCGTTATAGCCTGCGTTGGATATCTTTTGTGTTTTTGAAAGTGCGAGAATTGGTAGTGGGGAATTTTGATTTAGAGCATTTCGGATAAACATATCAAAGTAGATCTAATTTAGCAGGATGGAGCTAAATTCAAATGGAGGTCGCTGCTTGTAGCAGAGAGAAGGGAAGGTACGAAAAAGGAGAGAGTGACATGGAACGAGAAAACGAGCTCACGCTGTAGCACCGAGCTTATTTGAATAGTGCTAAAGTCCGTTTATCCTAGGCTCGCTTTAGTAAAAATCAATCAAGTTCATAAGCAGTTTAAAAAAATTTAATGCTAATAACTGACGAAGCTAAACAATTTGCAGGGATTTGCTGGACAATAAGACAAATAATTTAGTGTTCTTTCTTCCGCCGGGCTACGCATTCAGCCACAGTGAGGTTCCGGTGTTTATGCGTTTTTTGTACCTATACAGTGCAAAAACGCATATTATTAGAGAGACTGGCTGTTTGTAGGTGTTTTTGTGCATGTGTGTGTGTTTTTATGCCTGCGTGTGTCCGTGTATTTGTATAATTCGATTTCCAAATCTACGAAGGCTATGAAGCTAAGATTTTGGCAACTTAATCCACCACTGTGGATGAATCCTCAGACCTGAAATGAACCTTCACACTCTCGTGTTCCTCATGCACGCACGGACATGTGAAATGTATTTTTAGTTCAAAATAGTTTCGGAAGTTTTGCGAGGAGTTTTGCAAGGCTGTTTGGTGTCTACGTGTGCTGCATAAGCTTAAAACGAGATTTAACGCAGCTCGGTCGTTGTGAAGAGCCGCACGCCTAGAAAACTAGCTCAACTGTTTTTATAACAAATTGTTGCGGACCTGCGCGTCCAACGCATTTATCATTTAGGCAGAAGAATGTCAGAATTTCGGGTCTATGGGTCGTTTTTTT